ATATGTGGGCTTCTACCAAAGACAATGATCACCTTAGTATTCAATGCACTATTTTTGCCAAGATTTAGGAGCATTTCCTCAAAGCTGCAGTTCATGCCCACATCTGTCAAAGAGTTATTATGCTGCTGGAAGCTGCCTGGCCTAAAGAAAAGGGGAAACTGATTTGGGAGACCATTCTTGCGGTTGTTTTAGTGTCTATATTACTATATATGGTCTGAGAGAAATAGTCGAGTTTTTTTGTAACTAAGTGGAAATTAAGCACAAAAGACCTAGTCCATATTAACTGTGAACAAGTTTGTGTGGAATTTGTAACATGTTTATATTGTAATCTTTCCCTTATATCACTAATAAAATGCTTATCTTACCTTTCAAAAAATGAAAGACCTATCTGCAGCCCTAGCCCTTTATAGAAAGACTTGGTGTAAAACTTTCGACTTGTAAACATTTTTTTTGAAGATAAATAATTTACATGGCTGCCCACCATAATCTTGGCCCACAAACCAGCCCGGTCCGTGGTATGGCATGAACCCACACGGGCTTGGGCCGTGGGCCAGGCTGGGCCTAGGGTTTTAGGTCCATGGGCTGGGTTGGCACGACATGACCAAGTAGGCCGTGCTGCCCGCTGCCTGTAGCACGGCACGACATGACCCATATATATATATAATCTATTTATATATTTATATATATATATATATATAGATATAATATGATATATAATATATTGTATAAATTATAATTATATAATATATTAATAAAATAAAACAATTATTTTCAATTTTATTGTACTAATTTATTTAATTGTTGTATATATAAGCAATTGTAACATCAAAATTCATATAAAATTAAAATTTTTAAGTTTTTTTTTTCAATTTTTTATAAAATAGATAGCTTTGGCCCGGTCCACGGCTTGGCCAACATACCAGCCCTGCCCGTGGCATGGCATGGGCCATGCCAAGCCGACCCCCAAGTTATCACAGGAGAGGGCGGCACGACCTGCACTTTGCATGAATCACCCATGGGCAGCCATAAAACAAACAGCATGACCCGTTTTACACCTCTAAACAAAGGACCAAACAACACACTCCCAGAACCAATAACAAAACTTCCCCACCTGACCAACCAAGAAACAAACTGACACTCGGGCATCTGCATCCTAGGAATTACTTTCCTCTTCCTCTCCCTTTAGTTCACCTTGATCGAGCAATCTACAAAGTATTCAACTAAATTTCTGATCAATTTGCGACTACCAATTATAAACCTCCCAAATTGAAGCCCCCATCTTCTTTTTCAAGTGAGATGTTCCCCTCTTATTCTTCTAGACAAGTACATTGATCTAAATCCTTCCTCCCCTCCCCCTCTTCCACCTCTACGTTCTAAAACACCTAGCTATCTTGCAAAATTTTCTCCATAAAAAAAACAGACCCAACATTTTTTCAACCTTCATGTCGATGGTCACTCTCTTATCAACCTTTCTTTACCTCAATCGAGGGAGAACTTTCACTCAGCCTAGCATGGCTAAGCCCCAAAGCCTCACCGAATCCGTCAGAATGAATTCTTCCCTCCCTCTTCCAAGTTCCAACCCACCATCATCAGAAGAGAAAATAGAAGAAGAAGGAAGAGGAAACTTTCTAGCTAGCTAGCTAGGCAAACTCTGATTACCTAGCTTCTCGACCTAGAGAAGCCGACCCAACTGCTCTCGTTCCCTCACCAACAAACGAGCCATGCACCAATATATCTACCTGAGACTGAGAGGCCCACCCTCTTCTCCTGAGGCTTCCACCGTACCACTCTCACAACAAATACCAACCACGACTTGGGAAAATCCGAAGGTGCTCAACCCCAACCAACTAAACACACGACCTTAATTTACATCTCTTAATTGAAGATTCTCCAATGCACATCAACAAAACCCCCTAGAGCCTGACCACCCAACTCCAAGTGTGGAGGGGGAAGCCGAAGCAACATACCCTCCACCTTTGAATGCCATTGAACACCCAATTCCTCTCTAACTCATGACACCAGTTTCAAAGCATTAACTTTACACCCATCACACCAAATTGGACTTGAACCTAATAATCTAAGTGCCTTTGATTTTGAATGCAACACCACTAAGAATCTTGCACCAAAGAGGGCCCAAACTCCACCTCTTCCTTGCCCCTTGCCAAGAGTCCAGAGAAACCCAACCACCTTTGGAGGGCCCGGACCGGTTAGCATGGCATGAACCCGAACCAAGCGGGGGTGGTCCAATTTAGGATAACAAACCAAGCCACTTGATGGTTAATGGGAGTGTAGAAGAAAATATATATAAAGGGGATGGGTTCCCAAACAAGGGCCGGGACCCAATATCTGAATACACCACAGAAATTCATATTCTCTCTCTCTACCACTAACATGGAGTCACTGCCATTTCTTCGGACCTTGGGAGGTTCAACCACTACCATTTTCATTTTGGAGTCCCACTGGTTTGCATCAAGAAACTTTAGATACATGATCAACTTAGTTAGGGCTTATTATTATTATTTTTAATAAATTGGGAAAAATAATCTTATATTAATGTTCCTTACATTATAAAATGCAAGAGAGCAAGGGAATCCATATCAAATCAATTGCCTAGATGACTTATTAGTCCTCCTCCTCTCCTCCTCTATTCAGCAAGAGCCAAGAGGGGGATGATAAGATGCTCGGATCATATCTGATCAGGTGATATATAATTAATTATATATCAGTCTCTCATGAGGTTCACATGTTTAAGTAAAGGCTCGGTGCAAAGCAATACAAGATATATAGAATAGTGTAGGACAGGACAAAAGGGTACGAAATCACTTTAGCTATGAGAAAATTAATTTGATTTGAATAAACGCCAAAACCAGATATTTCCAAAGTTGGTTCAGACCTGATTATGTGCCTACCTGTACATTCTCATGTGTCCCGCCTTACGCAAGTTGGAGCCCATTGGAATAACAAAGATGAGTACTGATTGTTCTTGTGCAGATTACTTGATTTCTTTTCAGACTCCTGTGGCGTACACTATTCTTTTTATACAAGAGCATTGGTAAGAAAAACAAAACAAACAACATCGAAAAGATTTGATTCTAAACAACAACAATAACTTATTCCAGTTGTATCACATTGACTTGATTTTCTTGTCTACTCCCTTTTCATTCTTTTCTCATATCTTTAATGTCTGAATATTTTTGATTAATTTTATCACATACCTTGAGAGAAAATCAAAGGCAGAGAGAGAATGCTATACATACTAAACAGTTACTGTTTCTGCTGCTATTACTAATAACAACATAGCTTTTATAATAATAATAATAATAATAAATGTTTATGTCTTTTAAAAACTAAGATGTTTTGTATGGTTAGTTAATTAAAAATGGTGTGCCTAAATCATTTTTCTTTAGTTTAAATACATTTGTAATTGACTTGATTCATTTATGCACATCTCTTTTTTGATTTCTTTATGTTATGAATTTTTAGGGGGCATTTGGACATGAATTCTTGAGAACATCTTCATATTTGTATGCTTTTTTTTTTATAGGGAGATATTTCTAATGCAAGGTTACAAGGGGTTGTGGGAATTGTATAAGCACGGTCATGTGAGCACTAAAGTCAATTTCTAATTGGACGTTTGCTATAGATAAATAACTTTTCTATTGATATCAATCCATCATCAATTGAAAAGGAAAAAAGAAACAGCAGAAGTTTGGTTTTCCATCTACAAAATAGCTCTGATAGGTAAGCTTTAGCAAAAGAAAGAATTTATGATAAATTTATGTGTAAAATTAATTTTTGATAAATATATTACCATAAACTTACTAACAATAACCAAACGCCACCTTAATATTTATAATATTTCAACCTCACCACTTTCACTACCTCATAGGCTGTTCAGGTTAATGAAATCAATGTGTGTACCGTTACACTCGTTATACTTATCCATGATTCCACTGTGAGAACCTACCTACCAAGTGGTTCATGTAGTCTTGATTAATTCAAGCTTACTGACACACTTTTGTACTGTCTCCTTGAATTGACCTTGTGTCAAAGTTGAAAGAGTAATATTGTCAAAATAATAGAGGAGGCAAAAGAATAACAGTTCATTTAATTACTAGCTTCTCCCTTTACACCTTAGGTTAAAGTTCTCTCTCTTTCTCTCTCTTAGAGAAGAAGAGCTAGAAGATTGCATAAGGGAAAGGTTCAGTTAACCGTGGCCTTATTTTTCAAACTGAACAGGTATTATTGATTTTTAAAAAATCATAAATCGAAACTGAATTAGAACCAATTGATTAATCAGGTGATCCATTTGGTTTTTGACTGGTCCGGTTCTTCCGATTTTTAGTTTTTGATATACTTTGTAGATGAACACCCGAGAACACAAATCATGAACATTCTTCATGAAAAACAAGTCCGTTCAATTCAATTATTTGATTTTTTTTATTATTGATGAACACCCCAGAACACAAATCATGAACATTCTTCACCTCTATCTCTTTCACATCAGAAAAAAAAAAAAGAAAAATAAAGTGAATCTGCTGTGATAATGGAGAAAGTGGGATAATGTGAGGGTAATTAATGAATTTGTTGGAACGTACAGTCTATTTTATTTACTTCAGTCGTTCTCTCTCCATCTCCTCTCTTCTCTCACTCTCACTCTAGGGAGAGAGAAAGATGGAGAGGTGTGTAGTCGGGCCCCTCCAGCCAGGCTCCCTCCAGTCCAGTCCAAGAGTCCAAGAGTCCACGAGTCCACCAGACCACCACCACCACCACTGCAAATTTAACAAAGGAGTAATAAATACACGCACCAAAAGAATTTAAAAGAGCCCCGTCTATATCTTGTCTCCCTGTGTGACGCAGTCCAATTCGCACAAACCCAGGAGGGGGCCATCACCACCACCGACAGTGGGCCCCACTCTCCTCTCAATCAATGGCTTAAATCCTCCGTACCAGTCAAATCAAGGGCTCTAAAATAATGAAAAGTCAATCGCCATTATATCAAACACGTAGCCAGACCATCCCAGCCAGCCAGTCGCCGGTCGCCGCTCGACAAACTCGCTTCCTTCTCCGAAGGCCCTCCGCACCTCCATTTATCCTTCGGCTCTCCGCTCCGCAGAATCAAGCCATGACCATGACCATGAAGAGAGACCAAAGCACAGAGCTTGAGCCTCATTAGTCGTCTCGTCTCGTCTCGTCACCTGCTCGCTCGCTCGCTCAAGGCTCAACAGTCACCAGTCACCACTCCGCCAGTACCCCCGCCTCTCTCTCTCTCTCTCTCTCTCTTGTGTAAACCTGTGTTGACCCTTTCTCTCTCCTCACCACCGGTGCGGCAGTTCTGCCTTCTGCGCTGTTGAAGTACTTGAAGGTACGTGCGACCGACACGTGTGTGATTGCATGGAGAGAAATTGTAACTTCTAACTACTAACTAGAGTTGTAGAAAGTAGAAACAGAGGGGAGGGGGAAAGACAGAAAAGAAAAAGAAAAAAAAAAAAACAATATATAAGAATAATAATAAAGAAAAGCAGACAGGAGAGGGAACTCACAAGTCACAAAAGGGTTTCGTGGGTTCGTCTACATAAACCCTAATATCGTCCTCGCTTCTTAAAAGGAGGGAGTGTTTGATTGAGTTCGTGAGTTTCATGGCTTCTGATACCTTTCCGTAAATGGGTGTCTCTGTGGTTTCAGATCTGACTCTTTTGGTGGTTATTTATTTCCATTTTGGGAAAGCCTTACCGGGTTTGTTTTTCTGGGACGTGAGAGACTGACAGAAGAGAGTGAGCACACACAGGCAATTGTATATGGGTATGCCGTCGCCGGTGCGTGCTCACTTCTCTTTCTGTCAGCTTCCGGTGCCGGAATCTGACCTTTCGGGTCGTTTCCTGGCCTGCTGATGCAGTCCCACATGAATTATTTTTGCTGCTCTTTCTCTCTCCTCTCTGTCTTCGTTTCCTTTCTCCATCTGTCGTCTGCCTAGAAAAAAGGGAAATTTGTAAGGCCAAAATAAATGGAAGAAAAGGAAAAGATAATAGTTGGAAACGACACATCAAGCAGCAGTCTTATCTTCCGCTCGCCACCAATCTTATCCTCTCTGTCTCTCCTCTTTCCAATTCTATCCTTATCAAGTTTCTTCGAGTTCCGATGCTGAAGAACGAAGGATGATCTCTTTTTTTATGTATTTATTATTTTTCTGGTAGAGAAATCGAGATCAATTCGACAGGCAGGTTTTTTTTTTTGTTTGTTCGTCTTGGTATTAGTTTTATATACATTTGATCAACAGTAAATTTGCTTGTTTTTTAATCATTTTTTAGCTGAGATGAAGGCTTGAAAGCGTGACTTTTGATGACGCTCCAGGAGAGGACGATTGAAGTGGGTGACCGTGGGAAGGTACGCCTGTTCACTGTGCGGATTTAACGAAAAACTGTATGGACCAGTTCATCGATTTCGCTCTGTAACCTCTCTTAGTTCCCATTCTTTATTGATCATTCTTCATTTTTTATTTCATGCGCATGCGACCGATGATTCGCCGGCCATTTGAGCTGTTTTCGATCGGAATCTAGCCGGAATCTGGATGCTCGTATTCCAAATTCAAACGGGTCTTCGTCGATCTGCTTATTGTGCCGGTAGTTTCCAAGAAACAGCGGTCTGTTTTGATCAATTTCTTTTTTGTGATGCGGATCCGTTTACTTATTGTGGACTGTTCAGCAAGGTCTAGCAGATAATTTTGGAAGTTGGGTTTCTTTGGGATGGTCGTAAGTATGGATAGTTTCCGTGCGTTTTGGTTCATTCTTTCTTTCCTCTCTCGCTCCTTCCTTCTGTATTTTCCGTTCATGGGAAGATGGGTAGGATATTCTGAAGGAGGTCCCAACTCCCAATTCATGAACAAGCAGCCATGGAAGCATAATCTATTCAACAGGTTAGATCTCGTGTTGCACTTTCTTGAGCATCTGTTTCATATTATATCGTCGTTCATCCGTTATGATCTTGATATTGTCAAAGCATAGCGGCCTTATATTTCATGTTTCCTTTCATCGAAAACGCTTTCTCCTTACACTTGCCTTTTCTCTCGGTATCTCAATTGGTAGGCAGGTTGTTAATTCAGAGATGCAGACTCGAAGGTGGTCTGAGATATGCCTCACTTCATGAATCACAACTCGTATCACTGATGACGAACTTCGTCTGTCAGTAAAGCAACTAGGTCTACTATATTCTTTGGATGAAGTTGAAGAAATGGGATTTTCTGGTGGCCAATTGAAGGCAACAACTTGTACCGGAATTAGATGGACATTTTCTTCGATGGCTGGCTGTGGATGGGCTGTGAGGTGATACTTGGTTTTCAACACTCAACTGCAAAAGAGATCTAGCCTTTCTTCTGGATGCGGTACCGATTCCTCACCTTAGTTGAACTATTATCTGAATTGAATCCTGAGCTTGTTTTTGAATCCTTTTGGGTAGTGAATATACAATACAATGGGTTTCGTTCATTTGCTTGACTTGGATTTTTGGTAGTCTATGTAAAACAGTGTAGAGTCTAGACTATGAGGAATTTCGCTTAGTTTTACTTTACCCATTACATAGGGTTTGCTTTATTGTACACTACTGAGCAAGATGAAAAGCTTAGTTTGAAAATCGAGAACAGCTTAATTCCCCAGAATATATAATTAGAACAATTTAAGCTCTACTTATCTGAACTAACCACCACAAGCAGTTGGTGGTTTGAAAGGTGCAACCGAAAAGGGTTGTCCATTACATGCAAAGAGGTTCTGTGCAAGATGAATTGTAACCTGAATGATGGAGAATATGTGGGTTACTGTTCAAATGGTTCAGTTTTAGTTATCGTCAAGTAGAGTAGAAGATGAGAACGAATGACATTGGGTAGGATTAATGGCTTTCTGCTTATGGTTAATGGCTCAGTTGATCCTTTCTTCTTGAGGGCAAAGTTGGAGGAGGGAATAGAGAATCTTCAGCCGCCTCAAGATGGATGCAGACAGATACCTTTAATGGAAGAAAGACAGGACCAGTTAAAGACCCCAAGGAGTTGTACTTTACTTAGGCTACCCAGATTAGAGCCTGCCCTCTATGAGTGAGACCCACGATTAATAAGAGTGGGGAAGACAGAAGAAAGTTAAGTTGCTTTTTTCCTTGCCTTTTTCTTTTTCACTTACTTTACTATTATAACTAACTTAATGAAAACTACGAGCCCATTTATAGAAGAAGCTTTGACCTGTGGTCTGGCTCATAGATAAAATGGATAGGCCACCCGACTGACCTAGCATGTCTCCTCTTGCACGAAGTAAATGTTTTAGCTAATCCTACAGGCCAGAAAGCAGGTAGACATATGGACCATATGGTAGTTGTACAAAGGCTGTGCAAATCATTCTGACATTGCTGGATTCTTGATCAAGTTAAGGAGACCTGGAATGGTTGATTGTAGGCTGATATGTTGCTCATGCACGCGGTGTCTTGCTCTTTAATAAATGTCCATATCATCTCATCATTCAGCAACTTATCCAGAGGATTGAATGGTTTAGGTGGTGATTTTTCATAATAATAACCCCCATTCACAACTGAACAAGCTTGGCTTTTGTGCATTAATTAACCCAACTAGGTGACTATGTTCCAAGTGGATTAACAACCAGTAGAAGGAACACTGCAAAACTTGGAAGGTTCTTAGAGATCCTTTTGACAAGGACATGATACTGTGCTTGCCTTACAATGTCATCAAAGCATTTTTTAATTATGTGGTTGCAGCCGTCTTCTGTGCTTGGTTGAATTGTGTTCTATGATGACATCTCCATCTATTTGTGTTCTTAGGGATATTGTAAATTTATGGAGTGTTATGATTACTACAAGAAACTATTGGACCTACAATGAGAGCATGAAAACAACCAACTAGGTTGTTCACGACTACCTACATGCCTACTCCAATGGTCCTGTTTAAAATTATCTTTGTGAAATTGCAAGAGAGGTAGATAACCAACCACCTATGTCCATTTACAAAAAGGTATCTGTATAGGAACATGTAGGCAGTCCTATGACCAGTAGGTAGTAGCTAAAGCTAAAAGCATGTTGTAATTAAAGATCCATCCTCAACTACAGTCTTTAGAAATTTGGTCCATGAAAAACCTTTGCTTCATGAAGAATTGATACAGCTAATTATATGGAACTTCAGCAAGCACCAATTAGTCTATTGGCTCCCAATCCTGATGAGAAAAATTGATCAACTACTAGCCAAGGGGACATTTTGGCCCTACATTTCAACAAAAAGCAACATAACAATTTACTCCTCTTTCTTGGTTTTCTCTTTTTTCTTTCACAGAACATGTTCATTTTTTGTGACCCCACTAACTCAGCCCTTTTACAATTCATGAATTCAATTCTAAAATGGTAGTCGGAAATATTCTAAGGGCAACTTAATATAATCTAAAGAAAAGTAAAAAAAAAAGTTATTATGTAAAGAAACCACTAAAAAATGATTTATAATATTAGATTAGAAAGCCTATTGATTCTAATGAATTTCAAGCACAACCATGTAGACTATCTAACAAATAATCATAACTTTTTTCTGGCAGAAATAAATAATCATAACTAATTGTTATAAGGAAACTACTAGAAATTGTCTTAACATAGGAAGGAAATTAATTGCACCTATCCTGATTGATTAACAACACAATCACGGAGATCATTTAATTCTAAATACTTACTAATAGTTGATCCTTATTGTCTAATTTGTTTTTTTTTTCTTTCTTTTGGACCTGATATAGTGCATCATTATCATGTTTTGGCGGTGGGATATATGGTGAAGTTTACAAATTTTCAATACAATCAATAGGACCATATAGGCACTGCCATAGAAGAAAGTGGGATAAAAAAGTAGAAGAAAGATGAAAGAAAAAGACAATATTGAAAATTAGTAGATATTTGAAGTAAAATTTATATTTTTAGTAACATTCAAAGTATTTGTGGTAAACTTTGGATGTATTATGTATAGTTGATTTTATTTTATGTTACTGATTGGTTACAAAGTTGCTTCTCTTTACTTTTGGAGTATCTCTGGTATTGTTTATTCTAATGTTAAGTTTTTTGGCCTTAATTTGTTTGGGATTCCGAATGAATAATGTGTTTTCTATAGATTGAATCACATGTGATTTCAGTAACAATATTCTTACCCTTTTTGTATAAAGAGATTTTTCGTATTTCAATTGCATTATATGATGCACAAGATTAAAACCATTGCATGAAAAGGAGATAAAACACTGGCAAGACCTTTTTTTGAAGCCCAAAGTCCACTTAAACCACTGCATGAAAAGGAAGGTACAACAAATTCTGAGACCTACTCCCTCTTAGAAGAAGATAGAGTGAGCAAAGAAGGGAAACAATTTTAGAAGAAAATTCCCCTACCCACAAAGCCTCTTAGAAATAAATATTATTAGTAGAACAAACATCATTGTTGATATAAATAAACTAGAAAAATAGGAAAACATTTTGCTGAAGGTAAAACTAAAAGTATTTAAAAGAAAAAAGAACAATACATGAAAGGTGACCAAAAATTTCCTAAGAGGAGAAAAAGAAACAAAACTTCATACCCAGCCATAAGAGTCATCCAACCAAACTAACCAAACAAATGACACACAGAAATCTCCCCTTGAGCCTGAAAACAAAAATAGAAAACACAACTTCTTGCCACACCTTTACAATAAATCCCTAAACTCCAATAGAAAAACAACATAGGCCGAACACCTAGAGAAGACTAACCTTCACATCAAAACTGGGAGAATCTTCTACCCAATTACTCAGCAACACCCAGTGATGATTTCTTGGGAAGTTCTTTGCTTCATTTGTATGCTCTCTTTGTTTTCTTGACCCTTTTATTAGGCCAACCCCGAAGGCACGTTTCAATCTAGCAAATACTTTTGAAACTTTAATTTTTGCATTTTACATTAGGAAACTTCTTGAGATCCAAAGGATCCTTATGACCAGCATTAATCCTTTCTAACTCAGATTGCATTCTTCTCAAAGCTTTAAACTGCTCCCACCTCTTGATCTTGTCTACTATTAACTCTTGTAACTCTGGATGATCTCCAATCTGGAACGATTTCTGTTTGTTCTTTGAAAATAGCCATTTTCCTTACTTTCTTTTTTCTCTTGACTCTTTTCTTCCAATTCTTTAAATGCCTCCACCACAAACTCTTCCCCCCAGGTAAAACAATCCTATTGTTTTTATACACCTCCACATCTGCCTTCACAACTTCTTCAATATCAAACACTCTTTCTACTTGATGAGTTTCATCTAAAATCACATCTTTTGTACCATCTTCCCCACTCTCAGATAAAGCCTCCTCATCTCCATCCTCAATTAATGGTTTATTGCTGTTGTTTTTCTTTCTTTCATAAATTGAAACATTCCAATCATCATTCTGCACCATTGACCACTAGAGTTCACCTAATTCTGTATCTTTCTCACTCATCTCCTCAACATTCTCCACATTGACTATCCCTCCTACTTTCAGATTCAACGTGAGCCCCCTGCTTATTTGTTCCTTGTTGTTCTCACTACACATTTCACTTCATACCTCCACACCTTCTTGAGTTATAACTCCTCTCCTTGACATTTCACCTCCAACTGCAATAATTGAATCCCCATCATTTCTTTCATTAAAAGCTCTTTCAAAAACCACTATCCCTTCATTGTTTGATTTTGCTGCCTAAAACTCTTCACTTGAACCCCTACAAGATCCACCATCACAATTAACAATGCATATCACCCAGTGACTTAAAAGGCATGCCTAGGCGCATAGGCAAGGTGCATTTTAGGGTAGGTACCTCGCCCAGGTCCTACACATAGCACTTTCAAAAGGCACACGCTTGGTGTGCCTAATGCGCCTTGCACCTTAGCATAAGCATTCCCCTTTTGAAAATTTTACGCTTTTTTGCATTTTTTGAACCTAGTGCATGGGTCAGGGGCTCTGCCCCCGAACCTCTGACCACACCCCTCGAGGCAAGCCCAAATGAATCCATGTTAGGGTCTTAAATTCTTAATTTTTACATAAAAAACAATGATTTTACAATTTTATTTGCCTTTTAAGAAAATATTTTATTAAGATGAATAAATGAACAACATTAGCAAATAGGGGGTTCTCTGGACTTGTTTGTGCTTGCCTCGAGGGGCATGGCACAAAGGTGGCTTGTAGAATCAGGAATGTAATATGTTTTACATCACATTAGGTAATTGAAGTAATGCAATTGAGGAAAAAAAGAGATTGTCGGTTTTACATGCTTGAAAATGTTTTATATGTTTGATTTTATTTTTAAATTTTCATTTGAATATGCTTTACATGTTATGTTTATGTATTTTAATTTTAGATAATAGGTTTTTTTAAC